AGTAAGTCCTCCGTAACACTTGATCCGAACCTCCTCTTTCTAGCCCTTTTCTTTTGGTCTTCAACCACCAATTCTCTGTATCTTAAATGTGGAATGATGTGCCCTACTTTGAGAGATATTTGTTGCATCACAGGTCTTAAGCTTCATGGAGATGACGTAAGTGCCACCCTCTTTGTTGAACAATTCCTCTTTCCAACCAAAACCACTAGAAGTAAGAAGTTTATCTCCTCCTATCTCCCTTTTATTAAACACTGTAGGCAAACCGGCCCAGTTCAAGAAGATGAGCACATTGCTTTCCTGATTTGTTGGTTTTCTAGCCACTTGCTATGCGTTCCATCTGGTCAAGTCACAAAAGACTTTGTTCAAGTGGCGGTTTCCCTAGCCAGAAATGGAGACTTAGCATTAGCTCCCCTTGTACTTTCTCATTTATACAGAGGTCTTCACAATCTCCTTACTTCCAAGTTTTCAAGGTTCCAAGGCCTCTTCTGGTTGTTACAAATGTGGCTTAAGGTGTACTTCTAAAACAGAACTTCACCCCTAATCACTCCAACTGGAAAATCCCTTCTGTGCCATTCTTTGGCAACCGCAGATCCTTCTCCTTTCAGCTTTGTTGAAAACTTTGAATATTTCTACAATCAATGTGAGACTGGAAACGATGAGTTCTTTGATCCATTCACTGCCATTGGTCGCATGCCATCATGGTTGGTTCCATCTCCCTGAGTGTCTACCAAGAAACATTCTGAAGATTGGAAAAATATTTGGGCCAGCTTCCTTATTGCTCGTGACCTCCATTACAGCACTGCTCAACCTACTTTGAAGAATAGTTTCTGTGGCGTTGAGTTCTATAACCCAACCCAACTAGCAAGGCAAATGGGCTTTACCCAAATGATTCCTTTGCCACCCTGCAAATCTTACAATAGATTCTTTGACCAACGTGTTCGTCTTACAGATACTAAACAATTTGCAGCGATTGACCAAGCCTATGCAGCAGAAAAAATAGCTTTTAATTTCAAAGGCCATATTAGCAAGCCTCAATCAACCAATGAATTCGATGTATGGTGGTCAGCTTATATCTCCTCCACCCGAACCAAGAATCATAAGGCTATCTGTGATTCCATACTGGCATCTTTCAAGCCTCTGTGTCCAAGTATTAATGTATTTATTGTAAATTCCATTCCCTTTTGAAATCCATCAACCCTTCATATATTGAGACTTGGTTAATTTCAGATAAAGAAGAGGAAATACTCGAAGAAAGTGAAGAGGAAGAAGGTGGAGAGAAAACCACCACAGTGGCTAGTAAAATTGAGGGTGTAGCCGAAAGTGGTGACGTAAGTGTTGAGAGTCTTTCCTCAAGTGATGATGATGAGGAAGTGGAAGAAGTTGAAGAGGAAATACCAGAAGAGGAAGATGATGTTTTATACAAAGCGAGGGGAAAGGAAAAACTTCTTAGGTACTTCAACTTGGTTGAACTTGACTTTCCATTTTCTGGACCTTACTTATATTTCCTCTCACAGGGACTGGCCATTGTCAAAAAGGAATTTCAGCCCCAACTATCCTCTTCTGATGAAGATTCTTCTAATGGAGAAGTTGACATTTCCAAAGGGCGAACCGCTACTCAGCATTCCAACAAAGCCCTAAAAATGCGTAGCCCTTCCGGAAAAGTTATTGGAAAAGCTAAAAGGAAAATCATGCCTGAATTGGAAAAAATAGAAGAGTTCAAACAAACTGGAGACTCCCCAAAACACAAGAAACCAAAGTCATCCAAAGAGCTTGTTTTGGTAAGTCTCAATCCCTATCATTCTCTATCTCATTACTTTACACTTTAAAACATTTATAACTTCAACTTGACCAATAGGGCTCTACTATAGGACACAATTTCATGAATATCCACCTGGATCAACAAGTTGCACAAGGAGAGCTTTAAGCTTCAATTATGAAGAGTTTGACCATCAAGAATGAGAAAAGTCTGCCCATTCCAACTTCCACTATTAGAATATCCATTCCTTCCAGAACTGGTGGAACTGCTACTGGTCATACTCTTTTCATCCTAGAGGCAAGTCTTCATTCCTTTACACTTCACCTCCTTTCTTTCTTTCTATCTAATAGAAACTTGTTTCCATTTCAGGAAACTCCTTCCTTATCTACCTCAACCTCCTTTATGATGCAGAGGAGAGCCCTTCCAACCTTGGCTGATCTTTACAAAGTGATCAAGGCCACCAAATCTTCCAGTACTTCTACTTTAAGTGCCAGTGTCCTCACACTTCCAGGACCTTCGGATGATGCTATCATGGTAGCTTAATAGAAATTATTGACTTTTCTTGCCCATGATATAGAAGATGTGGTTTCTTTCCACCAAAGTCTGGCCAGCACTATCATGACCCTCAAAAAACATCCTACATTTCTAGAATCTATCCAAATTGCCTTAACTAAGCTGCAACGTCAACTCCAATTCATTGTCAGCCATGTAAGTTCTAGTACTTCCGCAATTTCTGAGTATGAAAAGGAACCCAAGCTCAGAGATAAGGCTTTTGAGGATTTCCAACTCTCCTTAGAATCCTACCCAGAAATCAAGGATCGGGCTGAAAAGCTTATGATCAAGAAAGAACTGAATGAAGAACTGGCCAAAATTCAAAGGGAATTGGAACAAGTAGAACGTGAAGAACTTGAATTGGACCAAACAGCTAATGCCCTTGTCAATGCGTCCGAGCCTTTAAGGAAAGAATGGGAAAAGCGAGTTGAAGCCTTTCCTAAATTTGAGGATGCAAAGGTTAAAGCAGTGGCTGTTCTTGGAGAAACAAGGAAAAATTTGGAATGAACTTGGATGTGTTCTTGCCTCTATTTGATCTCATGTGATTCTCTTTGTGGTTCTATCGTGTGGTTGTTTTTGGAAAACTTGTGGACAAGAAATAAGTAATGGGTACTTTTGCATGGCCAATCCTAGGTTTCGGAGGCCATTTTTGAATTTTGTAATGAAATCTAGTATCTAATGAGATAACGTTCTATTTCCCAACCTTTTGCATATGCCTCTTTCATAATTTATATGGAAAAGAAATTTCTAAGTCACTGAAACTGGAAAATTTCTTCACATATATTTACAATAAGGCATAGCCATATAATTGGCTTTCCATAACAAAGGAAATTCAAAGAAATAAAAGAAATTGCCATAATGGAAATGCATGTATATACAAGCAAGATGAACAATTTCCAGTATGAACAGATGCTGGAACACGTAGCGTAGCCAGTTCCTCAATGAAGTCTTCCATACTTAAGAAATCAGCTGATCTTGGAAATTCAACTAAGTCCGCTTCCTAACTTTAGCCAATGTACGTTTCCAAGTACTTAGCCACTTACTGGAATGAATCCTTCCTCCATTTTGACTTAGCTACCAGAATGACCAAAATATGGTCAACATTCCTCCTTTCCAACTTTCTGGTAACTTGGAAAGGGGAGGTACCAGCCACATTATGTGGCCGGTTGAATGAGTGTTGTTTTCTAATCTTCATAGATGGAAGGGTGGTACTCTTTCAAGTACACACCATTCACAGGGTGCCTATAAGACCCTCCATCTATATCCATTAATCTATAAGCCCCTTTTCCAAGGACTTGTTCTCCTAAGTAAGGACCTTCCAAATTAGGAGTCCATTTTCTATACTCCAATGTTCTGACTCCTGGTAGAAACTTGACTTGCCATACCAAGTCTTCTTCAACGAATGTCTTCGCCTTGACCTTCTTATTATATGCTCGCATGACTTTCTTCTTTTGAGTAATAATATGGTCTAAGGCATTGAGACGAACTTCATCAAGATCTTCTAATTCTGCCAACATGGCATGGTTGTAATATGCTGGAGTTAGTCTATTTTGGAAAGCCACCCTTGCATAGTCATCTCCATTGGAAGGACGACATCATGCCCATATGTAAGCATATATGGTGTGATGCCCGTACTTGACCTTTTTGAATTTCTGTAGGCCTAAAGAGCTTCAGAAAGCAAGTGATGCCACTCCCTTGGATGATCCTCAATCATCTTTTTAAGGATGTTGAGAATTACTTTGTTGGAAGCTTCTGCTTGTCCATTTGCTTAGGTAAAATATGGAGTGGAACTGATCATTTGTACACCACACTCAGCACAATAATCCAAGACCTTGCTTCCAACAAAGGAAAAACCTCTGTCAGTGGTGATAGTCTCTGGAATTCCAAACCTGTGTATAATGTGCTTCTTGATGAAATCAATCACTGTTGACTGCTCACAGGTCTTTAATGGAATAGCCTCAACCCACTTCGTGAAATAATCTGTTGCCACCATTATGTGAGTATGGCCATCTGAAGATAGAGGCCTTAGTTTTCTAATAAAATCCAAAGCCCACCCTCTAAATGGCCATATTTTTACTATCGACTGCATATTAATAGCTGGAACTCTTTGGATCGGGCCATGTTCTTGACATGCAATACAAGTCTTAGCAAATTCTATGCAATCTTTCAATATACCTTTCCAATAATAACTATACCTTCTAAGGAGCCACCTCATCTTGATTCCAGCTTGATGTGCTCCGCATATTCCAAGGTGTGATTCCACCATTACCCTCATGGACTCATCCTTTTCGAGGCATCTTAACAAAAGTCCATCTTCCTTACTCTTCTTGTAGAGGTCCCCATCAATCAGATTGTAATGTGGTGCGAAAAGCTGAATTCTCTTGTCCACTTTGGAGCTAGGCTCCTGCAAGAATTGGATAATTGGTGTTCTCCAAGCATCCAAATCTAATCCATCTATATCAATATTGAAAACCTCCCATGGCTTATTGGCAGGTTTGATTCTTTCTGGCTCTTCAGATTGGAAATGACTTGCCATCTCATACCGTAACTCTACCGAAGGAAAAGTCCTTTTAATTGTGATCAGAGCTTCTTACACACCCGGTGGGACTTTCACTCGAGAGGCTAATTGTGCTAGAACATCAGCCTCCATATTTAAATGTCTAGGCCAATATTTGAGTTGGAAATCATCAAACTAGCAAAGTAACTCTAAGGCCAAAGAGTGGAAAGGCCTTGGATGCCAGTTAAGACATCTATATTCTTCAGATAGTTGGCTAAGTATCAAGTTGGAATCTCCAATAATTTGGACCTTCTCCACCTTTAGCTTTAGCAGAATCTCCAGCCCAATAATTAGTGCCTCGTACTCAGCTTGGTTGTTTGTACACTTGAAATCCAAGAAGAAAGAAAATTTGGTTTTCATTCCTTTCGAAGAAATGATGACTATTCTAGCTCCACCTCCATCATGAGTGCTTGATCCATCAAACATGAGAGTCCAAGGTGTGTAGTCAAGGTAGAGATTATCCACCTCATCACATATTTCTGAATCTATCTTAGTGGATGGATGATCTGCTAGAAATTCTGCTACCCCCCTGCCTTTGACTGCCTTTTGTGCAATATACTTGAAGGAAAACTCCATTAAGGCCAATGACCACTTTCTAATACGTCCAGTAATCAAAGGCCTTGAAAGCATATACTTAATCAAATCTGTTTGAGAAATGATATATACGGCCACTGGCAACATATAGGTTCTTAACTTCATAGCCGCATAGTATAAGGAAAGGCACAACTTTTCAATGGAAGTGTACATACATTCCACTGGAGTGAGCACCCTACTTAGATAATATATGGCTTGCTCTTTCCCCCATTCATTATTCTGAGCTAATAGAGTTCCAATGGACTCATTGGCGGCCGATAAGTTTAATCTTAAAGGCCGTTTCTTGATTGGAGGCATCAACACTGGAGGGTTGGCCAGGTAGCTTTTCAAACCTTCAAAGGCTTACTGGTGCTGTTCTGTCCACTTGAATTCCTCAGCATCCTTCAATTTTAGCAAAGGGGAGAAAGCATGAGTCTTTCCAGCATGGTTGGCAATAAACCTCCTTAAATATCCAACCTGGCCGAGGAATTGCTGCTACTCTTTCTTGGTGGACGGTGGTTTTGCTTCAATAATTGCCTTTGCTTTTGAGAAATCGCTGCAACTCTTTCTTGATGGACGGTGGCTTTGCTTCAATGATTGCCTTTGCTTTATTTTGATCTATCTCAATACCTCTTTGGTGGACCAAGAAACCTTGGAAATTTCTAGCTGAAACCCCAAAAACACACTTCAAAGGATTCATCTTTAACTTGTGCTGCCTCATCCTTTCAAAAGCCATCTTCAAATTGTAGAGATGTTGATCTTTAACCGAGGACTTGATGACCACATTATCAATGTAGACTTCCAAGAAATGGCCAATCATGTCATGGAATATGGCATTCATGGCTCTTTAATATGTTGCTCCGGCATTCTTCAACCCAAATGGCATGACAACCCATTCAAAGGTTGCAATGGAACCTGGACATCTAAAGGCTGTCTTGGCAATATCTTCCTCTGCAATGTAAATCTGGTTGTACCTGGAATGTCCATCCATGAATGAAAGAATTTCATTCTTGGCAGCAGAATCTACTAACTGGTCAGCAACAGGCATGGGATACTCATCTTTTGGAGTTGCAAGATTGATATTCTGAAAATGCACACATACCCTTAGCTTGCCATTTTTCTTAACAACTGGAACTATATTAGAAATCCAGTCAACATACCTGGCGGTTCTTATAAAACCAGCCTTGTGTATCCTTTCTATCTCTTCTTTAACCTTTAGAACAACTTCTTGGGACATCCTTCTTGGAGGCTACTTGAAAGGCTTGAAACCTTCCTTAATTGGCAACTTATGCTTTACCAGCTCTCTGGAAAGACTTGGCATTTCCTCGTAGGTCCATGTAAAGCAATCTTTGTATTTTTCAAGTAAGGAAATCAATTCTTCTCTAAAGGTTGGTTCCAAAAGCTTACTGATGTAGGTAGGCCGAGGGTCTTGTTCTGTTCCAAGATTAACTTCCAAAAATGGATCTTATACTTCAGCCTTGAGATCGTCTAACTTCGTTGGCGCCACCTTCAAGTCTGTCAGCTGGATAGCATCCAACTTGTCTTCAGTATCTTTCATAATCTCCAAAACATTGGTTGAAAATGAAGTACCAGCAATAGCAGCCCTTTCCAACCATAGTTCGGCTAGATATGCTTTCAACCTGGCAAGGCAGCAGTTAACCGCTTGGCCAAGTATTCTATTTTCTTTAGATTTCTTTTCCATAAAAACTTTTGTTTGAAATGTATTGCTGAACACCGGCCTTGGGTAAAATTGTTGGCCTTGGTGTTTCTTGGAAAAACTCCCTTACATCTTCTTCCATAAGAGTCCTTCTCATGGTGGCCTTCCTTGGACGACCCTTGCTATCCTTTCCAATAAATCTGATTGGAACGAATTCTTCACTATATAACTTAGCATCTACATCATAAACCCTTGCCACAAATGGCCGGTTATCAGCTTCCACCACTTTTACCTCATCTCCATCCCAAAATATTAGCATTTGATGGAGCGAAGATGGAATGTAAAAATTTGGGTGAATCCATTCGCAGCCTAAGAGCAAATTATAAGCCGCTGTAGACTCAATAACAAAGAAGGCTGTGATGGAAGTTCTATCTTCCACCGTTAACTCCAATGGTAGGATTCCTTGCGTCTTCACTATTCCTCCCATGAATTCACTAATGGACACATCAGTTGGAATGATATCTTCAGGGGACTTTCCGAGCATGCGCATAACATTGACTGGAATAACATTCAACACCGAACCATTGTCCACCAAAACTCTTGCCAAAGGCCTTCCTTCCACTAGCACCTTGATGTACAAAGGTTTAAGCTGCTGAGTCATGCCATATGGTGATTTTTCCAACATAATTTTCTTTGGCCTCGTGAGGCTGTTCTCTTCAATCACAACCCCCTTTAATTTCTGGAGATGCTCAGCTTCATCTTCAAAGACCTCCTCTATTTGAATACCATTATTTGGTTCTATAATGGTTGGCCCAGAACTAGACTGTCCAAGACTTTCCATGGGAGGACTTGTATCTACTACATCTCCTTCCATTGAATTTGCTGATTTGGCTGAGGCTCAAAAAACAAAGGAAGAACCACTACCATATTGCAAGTAAATTCACCTGGAAGGCTCCCAAAACAAATTTTCTTGCTGCTACTAGAACTGCTGGGAATTTCCAAATCTGTTTCATCTTTCGTAGGAGGATTGTTTGTAGTCAAGGAATTTCCAACCTCTAAATCAAGATCTAGCAAATCATCAGGATCTCTCTCCTTTCCTCTAGCTGGAAGTTCTGATAAGTCTGACGGCTTAGTAGTCTTCTTTGGCCAGTTGGACCAGCTATGGTCTTTCTCCCATAACCTTCTTCTATCAGCCCTCTTCCTTTGTTGCCTTCACTTTTGTGGGCGGGTCATATAGGAATCATCATGGATAGGGAACTTAGGATGATCAAGCCTCTCCCACCTGTTACTTTGCTAGATGGGAGGCTTAACCATTCTTTGTTGGAGACGCTCATTTTCCCTTCTAACCCATACCTCCGAGGCCATTCTTGGCCTGGAATGCCTGTCACCTTCAGAACCTTTATCTTACCGTCTACTACTTTCAAACTTTCTGCTAGGAGGATGAGAACCTGGCTGATAGGAAATTCTACTCCTTTCCAAATTCTTTGGAAGAATTTCAGATTTCATCTCTGCTGCCATTCTTTATGGATGAACCCGGCTTTTCTTCTCTGGAATGGTTACAGTAACTATGTTTTCCACCTTTTGGAAAGTTAGCCGGTCATGGACTTTCCTTTTCTGACCCCAGTCACTGTTGGAGGGCTTTTCATTCTACTTCTCTTTTGGAAAGTCTTTACGGCAACCTTCATTCTGAACTTTACACTTGGGGCAACAACCTTGTTAGATTAAAGCAATCTGGGCCTCTCGGAGTTGCCTCTCCAACTTAGCTACTGTCTTCCCCATAAATGTTGCCGCCTTTGGAATTTCCAACTTTCCACTGGTCGCTGGATTTACCAAGTCCACCTCCTTTTTGGAATGCTCCAGAACCATGGAAGCAACATTTGTTGCAACAACCTTGGGGAAAGGATTTCCATCAACACCCATGACTTCTGATTTTTCTGGAAACTTAAAATGGCCATCTTCGATTGCCTTTTGCACAATGTTGTGGAAGATAACACAATTATTAGTGCAATGCTTCCACAAATTGTGGAATTTGCAATACTCCTTCTCGGCCATTTCTGAAGCCGACAGTATCTTGTGGCCCGCTGTGAAAATCAGTTACTTGTCAGCCATGAGCAAATCAAAGATTTGCTCGGCTTTAGAGATGTCAAAAGAGTAACTTTTAGAAGAGTCTGCCCCTTTCTACATAGAACCAGAGATGGCCTGCAAGTTGGCCGTGGCTGACTTTGGTTTTGTCAAGGCCTCACAAGTATAGGCCTTCTTTATGTTGAGCTCGGCTACATTTACTTCAAACTCCCCTTCAGTTTCAGTGGTATACACCTCATAGTTAGGATCACGATAGTAGGTGCCCTTGGAAGAGTTCTTCCTATCTTGCTCTTCATGAAGGAGCTCTTCATACTTAGCCACTTTGACAGCCAAGTCGAACAAGTCATGGAACTGTACACCTTCAAACTTCTTGCAAAGTTTAAATTCTAGGCCGTTTACAGCCATCTTCACATATTCTTCCTGTGGCAAAGACAAATTACATTTGAACTTGGCCCGCCTGAATCTGGAAAGGAAGCTCATCACAGACTCTCCAGGTAGTTGATGAAGTTTGAAAAGGTTTGCCATGGACACTTCAAGCTCAACTCTATAGAACTGAGTATGGAATAATTCCTCAAATTGCTGCCAACTTTGAATGAAGTTGGCTGGCAAGTTGGAATACCACCTGAAAGTATATCCCGTCAGTGTGTTTGGAAACAAGTGTACTTTCAGCCATGGATTGGCTGCTGCTTCTCCACACTGAACAATGAACCGACTGATATGTTCCAAAGTAGACTATTCACCCTCTCCATTGAATGTTGCAAACTCTGGAATTCTGAAATTTCTTGGAAATTCAACTTCATCATTGAACTCTGGATAGGGCTTTCTGTAAGTTGGCCTTCCACCCCTTCGAGTTAGGCCAAATTCCTGTTGAAGGAATTCTGCAAGTTGGCCTCTGTCAAGCACCATAGGTAGTGGAGGGTTGTTATCTGGCCAACCTTGAGGTTGATTAGCCACCTGATGCCCCCCATCTGCCATAAGCAAAGGGTTGGCATCTGCATAGTTGTTCCTACCACGGCTCCTTCCTCCTTGGTTAAGAAGTGGCTCCCTTGGAAAAGGTTGCCCCCCAACCGCCATTGGAATGACTATAGGTAGTGGCCTTGCCTGAACAGGTACGGCTGGCTGAATGTTCATAGGTGGAATATTTTGTTGTGCTTGTGGTTTATGGTATGGCCATGGTTGGCCAGGCTGATCATGCCAAGTCTGCTGTGGAAATGCCACAGGTGGAGGATTCTGAACTTGTTGAATGGTTGGCATGGTCATAACTTATGGAACAGTCATCTATGCCACTGGAGCAGTCACCGGTGTAACTAGAATGTAAGTCTGCGCCATTGGAAGGGACTGCACCTATTGCTAAGTTAGAGGGAACGGCCCTGCATGTTGCTGAGAGGAACTCCCTTCAACAAATGTGGCCGGCCTGCTCGCTTGGAAGGCCGACTGTTGAGACCCTTCAGAGTCATTTGGCCGAGGGGCCAAACCTTAGTTTAAGCTTCCAAGGGTCCGTTCCAACATAGACGTGAACCTTTGAGAGATTCGGTCTACCAATTCCTCAAACTTTCGATCTTGAGATAAAACAACTTTA